ACACACACACCCCATGGGAATAAACCTAGCTAGGAAAATGTATGCTTACAGGAAATGTAATCAACAATATCTTGACTGTAAGTTACAACTGATTCCAACAATTAGTCACTAGATGTGAGTACAATGAATATCCTTGAATGTGTATTAAAACAGTCTTTGACAAAAGAACCACTTGCAAATGTCTCCTCTAATTCAGGGAACTTTTGCATGTAGATAGAATTCCCAATCTAAAAAATTTGGGAATAGTTTCTCAAAAATGAGAGAAATATATATAAACCAAAATAATTAAAGAAGGGAAGGTGATGATTATGAGTCAGCTTGGGAAATAAATGTCAGCTGCCTGATAAAATAAGTAGACAGTGGTTCAATGGATAATAATTGCATTTCTGAGAATAATGAAACCAGCAGAGTACTGTGGCCCTTCTCAGAAGTCTCAGAGACTCATTTGTTCAAATTCACTGGACTCTGCATAGTTGCTCACTGGCCCATTACAGAGTTACAGCAGCTGCTTCCTCCCACTGCAAAAAACACAGCACAGAGTGCCCAGCCTCCCTGCATCTGCCTCTCTTTGCTCTGAGAGCTGAGGACCAGGTGGCAAAGGCTGTTAACAGCTCATGTTTACACAATCCACAGCAGAAAGAGCTCACAAAGAAGAGCAATGTTGGTGGTGAGAACCTAGAGAATTACACACAGCGCATTAGAATCTCACAATTTAGAAATTAGTCTAGGGACGCTTCAATAGATGCAGAGATCAGGTAAACTGCAAAATGAATACATAGCTCCTTGGCCATGGTGATTGTGGGCTCTGTAACCAGCAGGGGGCACTGTGAGGCAGTCTGTGTTTACAGTAAACTGATTATTAAGGACCACTCAAAAGAGCCTCAGCATAGAGGAGATGTCATTTGCTTACTGGTTAGAAATCAGTAACTGCAGGTGCAGGAATGAGATTGGAGGTAGGATGGAGGGGGAGAGTAACAAAACAAATATCTTGATGGGAGCATACCTTGGGTTTAGGGAGAAACCTGGTGCAAGGGAAACCCCCAGGGAACTCACAAGGATGACCCCAACTAAAACTCTTAGCAATGGTGGAGAGGGTGCCTGAACTGGCCATCTACTGTAAACAGATATGTAACTTCCCTAATTCCTGTCAGAGATACTATATCCAGTAACTGGTGGAAGCAGAGGCAGAGATTTACAGACAAGCACTGTGCTGAGCTCAGAGGGTCTTGTAGAAGAAAGGAAGGAGGAATTGTACCAGCTAGGGGGTCATGATGGGGAACCCACAGAGAGAGTTGACTTGAACTCAAGGGAGCTCATGGATGCTGAAGCAACAGTCAGTGAGCCTGCATGGGATTGACCTATGCCCTCCGCTTGTGTGTGACAATCATGTAGCATCAACTCTAAGAGATCAACTGTTAGTAAGGCTTCTAACAGTGAGAGCAGGATCTCTCCCGGGTGTTTAGCTGGCTTTTTGGTAACCTGCTCTCCATACCTGGTGAGGAACTTTGTCCTACCTCAACTTGATGTGCCGTGCTTTGGACAAGTCCATGAGAGGCCTGTCCCTTTCAGAATAGAGATAGAGGAGGGGTGGATGGGAAGGAGGGTAGACGTGAAAAGGAAGGAAGGAGGAGGGAAGAAAGTAGGGTAAACTGGTTAATATGTAAAATAAATGAAAGAAATGTTATTAAGAAGTTAACAAAAGAAAGTGGAACGCGGAACTATTAACCAAAAGCAACTTGGACTATAACAGTATAATAATTCTAGAGCATTATACCTAATGAGTATTTTTAAAATGTAAACATATTGTATGGACATGTTTAACAGAACTATGAAACAGAGATAATTATCATTTATTCAAATAAAGAAATCAGTAGTGGCATCTTCTCTAGCCTGGAAGACTCCCTTAAGCAAACCTTTACCTTGCTCAGTAGGCACTTCTTTCTGATGGGTCCCCAGTGCTTAAATAAACCTCCATCCTCCTAAGTGTGTGTGAACTGAGCATCAACACTAAGGTTGAGGGAGGAGCAGAGGAAACCATGGATGGAAACACATTGACAGGTGAGGCTCTATGTCAGGCAGGATGAGGGAATATGATGAGACCTGAGGCCAGGCAACCCCATGGTCAGGAGCTGTTTCTCTCATGCCTGGGCCCTTCCTCCTTCTCTTCACTCAAGTCACAGGTAGGAATGAGCATCAATGGGTCACAGTAGGAACTCAGCCTCGTCCATCTTGTCCAGCAATCCATGGGAACATCTACTCTGGTCTCTGCCACATTTATCCTCATTCTGTTTGTTGGTTCTCTCTGCCAAGCTGTGCTGACTCAGTTGCTCTAAGTCTGTATCCTCTGGAGCATCTGCCACACTCACCTGCAGCTAGAGCAGTAGCTTCAGTGTGGGAGCTCTGCTTTTCTACTTCCATAGAATCCAAAACACCTTGAAAATATACTGCAGAACTGCGGAGACCTGAATTTATCTTCTGACTCCGGGGGCCCCAGCAACATGCTTGTGTTCAAAGATTCCTCAGACATTACAAAGGTGTTGCTCACACTTAGAATGCAGCCTGTGGATGAGGCTGATTATTACTGTTCTAAAATTCATCTTAATGCAGCCTTATAAATACTCATTACAGTGTTTCAGTTAAAGAAAAGAGGGGGTGGGAATCTTGTGTTCACAAGTCCTGTATCTCTTGACTGTTCTTCATAGACACGCTTCCTAGGGGTCATCAAGATATTAAAAAAGTTGATGAACAAGTGAAAAGAAACACAAAGCTTGTTCTATAACAAAAATACAACAGGAATAACCAAGAAGGCACAGGAAGGCTTGATAATCAGTCTAGGGGCACATGCCATTTTGTCTACTATGCATGTCTACCATGGTCACTATTGTTAACATGATCAGTAGAAGCCAGACATGATGAGCCACAATGCAGTGGCTACACTATATTCCTTCAAGCCCTGGGCTTCATGAGACATCCTCTTTTCTTTGCTATCAATTTCAGCACCGTCACTAACTCTGTCACCACTATCACATCTGTGTCCATGCTTTACTATGCTAGAAGCCTATGCAAAGCCAGGCCCAGGTCCTGAGACCTAAGCATGCAGCCACTCTTTTCTATACTTCTCCATTGCTCAAATGTAGTTACTTTCAAAGAAACTTCTGGATCCACTAGTTTTCAAGGTTATAGCATTATTCCTGTATCATGGCATGTCTAGAAGTACAAATTTTCCATCCTATGAATGCTGGACACAGGATGGGTTCAGTACCTGCTTCTACTTCCTGTATGGTTGTCCTGCTTATACTTCCTGCCTGGCTACTGGCCAATCAGTGCTTATTTAAAATATAATTGATAGAATACAGATCATTCTCCCACACCCAGTAGCTATTTTCTTTCTTGATTTAACTCTAATTTCCCACTCCACACCCGACTTTAATTGATCTGTGAGAAAGTTAGCTCTGGTTGCCATGGGCAGAGTCCCTTTATGTGCTTCCCTGTCTATCAATCAGCGCTTTATTGCACTGAGACCCAGATCCTGGCCCCAAATATTGATATAGTCTTAGAAAAAATTCATATATCATGTGCATCTGAAACAAAAGTCAATAGATTTTGATGTGGGAGTGATTTCTTATTAATAAAGAAACTGCCTAGGCCCCTTGATAGGCCCAACCTTAGGTGGGTGGAGTAAACAGAACAGAATTCTGGGAGAAGGAAGCTGAGTCAAGGAGTCGCCATGATTCTCCCACGCCAGAAAGATGCAGGTTAAGATCCTCCCTGGTAAACCACTTCATGGGCTACACAGAATATTAAAAATGGGTTAGATTAATATATAAGAGCTAGCCAATAAGAGGCTGGAACTTATGGGCCAGGCAGTGTTTAAAAAATACAGTTTCCGTGTAATTATTTCAGGGCATAACCTAGCCATGTGGGCAGCTGGGTGCCGGGGACACAACCCTGCCGCTCCTATTTCAACAAGATTTGTATCATTATTCTGTTTTGATAACCATATGTCTATTAATAGTCCTTTGTAAAGAAGTTCTATTGGCTTGTTAATATCATTCTAAAATTACATTATTGTAATGTAAATAAACAAGTTTATTTAGCTGGAATTTGTGTAAAATGTATAACCATATTAGAGGCAAATTTTGCTATGTGTACACACAAATAATTTATATAAAACTTATGTTTGAGTATTTAGTATGCATATATATCCACATCTATATTCATACATTATTATTATTTAGCAAAATTAAAATGTAGATTCTCTCTTTTACTCTACACTTTTATCTGTACATTCATCTCATGAAACTTGGATCTAGTCATCTGCTTTGTTGATTGAAACTTCATGCCCTCATTTCAGGAACAGGCACTTCTCCTCCAAAATCACAAGCTTCAAATATCTCTCAAGATGATTTCAACACCCAGTTAGTTATAGGTTTGTGTGTATTAGCATGTAATCCTTCCTAGTTTCTGTGCAAAGCATCTTTATGTAGATACGCTGCAGTTTATTTGTTACTTTACAGACATTTGGGTTTCTGAACTATAATCATTTTGCCTTGTATTAATCTTTCCATGTGTTAATGAATTAACACACTTGATCATAATGATAAGCCACATGACAAAGTGATGCTAACTGTGAATGGACTGTTTGAAATGTCTGCATGACCCAATGATTTTCACTGTTTCTCACTGTAAGTAGGACAAGTCTTGGTGGAGCATGACTTGCAAGACTGATGTCCCTCTAGGACACTAGATAGACGATAATTTTGGCTCTGGAAAAGCAAAGGCTGCTGAACAATAATGCTACTGATCTTTATTATTATAAATAGGTGATCAGTAACTTGTGTCAACTGAAATACATTCACCTGACATCCTATAAGCAGCATAGAAGAGGAGCTCATTTGCATTAATGTGCATGCCCCCTCCTATGTTAGGAGTTTTAGTTAGCCCTGTGGCACTGCCCTGTGCTGAAGAACTTTGAAAGGAACAGACCTGGACTGTGAATCATGGCCTGGACTTCTATTTTGATCACACTTCTGGCTCACTGCACAGGTCACGGGACCTTTCTGGGCTGGAGTGGGTATGCAACAGTGCACATATTTTCTCTGCTTTGCTACTGACCACTGGATTTCTCTCCTGTTTGCAGAGACTATTTCCCAGGCTGTTGTGACTCAGGACACTTCATTCATCACATCTCCTGGAGGGACAATCACACTCACCTGTGGCTCCAGTACTGGGGCTGTTACCACCAGTAACTATGCCAACTGGGTCCAAGAAAACTCTGACCAGGTATACACTGGTCTGATATATAGGACGAGCAACAGAGGTTCAGGTGTCCCTGCCCAATTCTCAGGCTCACTGCTTGGAGACAAGGTGGCCCTACTATCACAGGAGTCCATCCTGAGGATGAGGCTGTGTATTACTGTGGTCTGTTCTATAGTGACCATTTACACAATGGTGCATATAGATGGGGACGTAGAGCACAAACACCCTGGTACAGTCTTCTAACTGTTATCTTCTTCTTACCATATGGCTGCATGTTTCTAAATCAGAGTGTATATTCTCCATTATCACAGAGAACATCATAAAGCTATTATCTAAAGTTACAAGCTATTTTATGTCAACACAATTTGTGATAATGATGTTGTCATGGCATGCTTTAGTTTACAACTTGACAACATAGTATCTCCTGAGAAGAGAGTCTCAATCTGGAGTTTATCTACTTTGGGATGACTTGATGAATTCTCTTGTTTGATATTGGAAGACCACTTTAGTGGCACCATTGTTTATGAAGACTGTCCTGAACTGTATAAGCTTGAGGTTAAGCTGAGTACAAGCCAGCAAATGATTGCAGATGAGGTCATTTCTCTTGGTTTCTGACTGTGTATGATGTGATCAGATTCTAAAGATCCTTTTGCAGTGAGTTCCCTGCAATAATGATGTACTGTAATGGGAAAATACACTGTGAAGTTGGACCTCAGCTAATGAGGACAACATTCTTTATTCTTTAGTTAAGGTTAAATGGTGGAGGTCTTATTGTTCAGGTGAGCTTGCTCTGCCATTCCTGTAAATATCCACCCTTCTTACCTTGTTGAGGTGCTCTTGTGGGAGTGGTGGCCTCTTTTTGTGTCCTCAAGACTATTTCTTACAACTCCAGCTGTTTCTAAGATTCTAAATATTTATCTGGTAATATAGGCACTGTGCACACCCTTGAGTTCTGACCTAACCTGGGAGTCTGAATATTACATTCAAGTCTGGCACAGTTGGTTTCTCAACGTGACAGAGGCATGAGAGGCAGTGATGCATACTCAGCCTCCTGGGCCTTGTTCCTTCTCCACATCTGCAACAACTTGTGCATGTACTGATGCCTTTGGATGTAGTATCTGCTCACAATTTCTTTTAGTTTGTATATAATGATTCTAAATGATCATAAAATTCAAGTAAACAGACAACAATAGCTACAACTAGTTAGCACTACATCTAAATGTATCCAGTTGAACTTATTGTTTAAAGGGAATCCTTTGGAGTTGACATTGTTTTCTTAAAATATATAAAGAACTCAAGAAACTAGACATTAAAATTCTAATTAACCCACTTAAAAATGGGGTACTGAACTGAACAGACAATTCTCAACAGAAGAAGTTCAAGTGGCCAAAAGACACTTAAGGTCATGTTCAACCTCCTTAGTGATCCGGGAAATGAAAATAAAAACAACTTTGAGATACCATCTTACACCTGTCAGAATGGCTAAAATCAAAAACACCAATGATAGCCTGTGCTGGAGAGGATGTGGATGATGGGAAATGTGGCGGTTTGCATTAATGAAGACCAATAATAATAGGTATTTGAACAAGTTTAATGACAAAACCAGACTCATGAAACCAAGGTTCCAGCAGAGTACCCGGAGCAGGAAGGAAGGGGTGCGCAGCATCTGCGCGCCCAATTTAGCAGTAAACATTCGCCCGAGGGCAGCCCGCCCCCAAGGGGAGGGCTTATCCCTACATCTCCCTCTTTTTGTCTAAATAAGACAGAACTAACCCAAATACAACTATAAACAATAATAATAAATAATAGATATAACAAACAATATTGAGAACGAAAGTTTTACCAGACATTCTATCTCAAGGAGTCTAAATAATGTAGAGAGTAATTACAATTATATAATCTTCAACTCCGTCAAAGATCTGAGAAGGGAATAAATATTACTTAACAAATGAGAGATATCCAAAGCGTGCCATAAATGACAGAGACAACAGACTACCTGGGCAATCACCCAAATTCTCGTTCGCAATGTTGAGTCAACCAACTTTGGCTAAGGCCTAGCAT